TTTTTTTTTTCTTTTTTTTGCGGAACCGGGGATCGAACTCAGACCCTTGCATTGCCAGGGAAGTGCTTATTCCACTGAGCCATCTCCCTGGCCCCAAGAATTCTTTTCAAAGTTACAAAGTCTGAAACTGGTTGGAGACACCATTCTGTTTCTTATTTACCTTTGTGACAAAATGACACTATAAAGTCATAACTGTTCTTTTATTTGTTAGTTTGGACATAAAAAGACTAAAGGTCAGTTAAAGTTACAAAACCAGCCATGTAAAATAGAAACTGGCACCTTCATCCACCAAATTCTTGGCCTACCCGCCTCAGAAGTCCCTCCCTTTGACCCTTGTAAACCTACTTTACTGGGGAACAAAAAATTCTTGAGTAAACATACACAGTACAAATGAAAAAACATCAAAACTTTGTCAGGAAAACATTAGCGGTAGGCCAGGGGTGGCTCAGGAGTGCGCTGGGGCTCCTTCACTCCCCACCGCAGCTGCTCCGGGAGCAGCGGGACCTGCAGGGCTGGGGCTGCTCCGTGGGACAGCAGCAGCTCCCTAGCCTGTCTGAGGCCTGGCTTTCCTCTATACCACTGCAAAACAAAGGAAGGGAGGGAGGGTGAGGACAGGGAAGGCAGAAAAAGGGAAAGAAAGAAACTAATGCCAGCACTCTGGGAGGCTGAGGCTAGAGGATGGAAAGTTCAAACACTCCTGGGCAACTCAGCAAGACTGCCCCAAAACAAAAATGAAAAGGGCTGGATGTGCAGCTCAGTGTAGAGCACCCCAGGTTCAATCTCCAGCACCACTTAAAAAAAAAAAAAAAGAAAGAAAGAAACTAACCTCTGGCTTCAGTTTCTTCTTCTTCTTTTTTTTTTTTTTTTTTTTTTGGTGGAACTGGGGATTGAACTCAGGCCCTTGCGCTTGCCAGGGAAGCACTTATTCCACTGAGCCATCTCCCAGGCCCCTTAGTTTCTTCTTCTGAAAAGTGAAAATAACTACCTTACTGTGCTGTCCTAAAGACTCAAGGAGTCCAGTATATAGATATTTACCCCTGAACTGTAAAGATTCCAATTGGTAGCCACCGATCCAGGATCGCTATTATAATTTGGGGTTTTCTTTGGTGTGTGTAAATGTGGGGCTGCTCACTGAACTGACACAAATAGCAGGCAAATGCTCCATTGCTGGGCTGCATCCACAGCCCCTACCAACCCTCAGAGACACTCACTGTATTGTCTGGCGTTGTGCAAACATGTCTATTGCCTGTGTGTGTCTAGTCCTCTCATCCTTCTGCCTGCTTCCCCTGAAGTCACCTTGTAACTGGGAACTTAGCAACATACAGGATCAGGGATAAGAGCAAAAGGAAGGAACTAGGGAACAAACTTTGTTTGCTTTTGTTGTTGTTGTTTTGTATTTTAGGGAAGGGTCCACAGGGTGTTCAGGGCCTCACTACTAGATTGGACTTGTAGTGATCCGCCTGTTTACAGCCTCCCAAGAGCTGGGATTACAGGGCGCACCACCACACCCAGTCTCAACTGTGGTCTCAGCACCGCCCCCCTGGGGGGTAGGGCCGGCACGCAGGGCAGGCCTGGGCATCGAACCCCAGCCCCTGAACCTGCCTTCAGGCATTTTAATCCACTGAGCTATTTGGCTGGCCCTTAAGACCCTGGGTTTGATCCCCAGCAATTAAAAATAAAAAAGTAAAAAGCAAACAGGGCTTGGCCCTCAGCCCCAGAGACTCACACATCGAGGAGTGACCACTGCAGCCACCAAACAAGTGGTGGCTCAATTGCAGATTGAACAGATCAGCAGATCCAGGGCTCCTCTTCCTCCCCAGCTTATGGGTGGCCAACCTTTTGGCTTGCCTGGCCATGTCTGGCCATGCTGAATAAAGAGGAATTATCGTGGGCCATGAGTATAAAATAGACAATATAGTTAATGTGCATAAGAAACAAAACTTCCATGGGGCTGGTGAGATAGTTCAGTGGTCTAAGAACAAGTTTAGCAAATCACAGGGACTGCGGTTCAATCCCCCAGCACCACATGCCAGCCAGCCCCCGCCCCCTGGTGGGCTGAGCTGGCTACACACATACACACACACACACACACACACACACACAAATAAATAATAGTTTAAAAAAAAAAAAAGAAACAAAACTTCCTTCTAAAAATATTCTTGTAACATTCAGAAAAAAGGAGGCGAGCCGCCCACAGGTTGCTGAACTCGACACATCTGCTACATCTGGGACCACATATAGATCTCGAGCAAACGGGCAGATGAGTGCAGGATTAGGAGATTACAGAGCTGGAAACACCTGATTACAGATAATGAAACAAAGTACAGACAAAATCATCTACCCTCATACATTCAGGAAACCCATCTGGAGCTGTATCCTTGTGCCAGGTAGGAGAAGCCACTATCCCCGACCACTTCCTTCAAGCGCCACTTCTGCCACCACCATAGGGGTTAACTCCAGCCCCAGAGAGAAAGCCGGAAAGCACTGTGCCAGAGGATTTAAGACTAGGTGGACAAAACACTGTCGTTTGGCAGCAGCTTTCTGACACAAAGTTAACTGATGTCTGTGACAGTGGTAATAAAGTGACAGCGTCCAACGATATGGGACAATATGGGCAGTCTGTCCTCTGGCAGGAATATTCCCCCACACAGTTTAGTCTTGGGCAATGGCCCTGGGAGATGTGCCCCTAAACTGTCCCTGCTGCTCCCCAGTCTGTTTGTGTCTTGCCTTCCTCTCCTCCCAGAATTCATGCTTTTTTTTTTTTTCCACACCCCCAACAAGGCACTGAAAGGTAAAGTGGAAATGCCAGGCGAGGCCACTAAGTCACAAATGTGGTAGGGATTGTGGGGGCAGGGGCCAGGGAGGCCCAACAGTAACATTCCCAACTAAGCAAGGTCTCCATGCCGCCTACTGGGTCTCTAGGCCATGTGCGTGGATGGCAGAAGAGAAGGGCTTTGAGGGAGCCAGACTCAGGCTCTGAGGTCTAGCTGTGCACACCAGCAAGCTGTGGAAAGTCGCTTCACTTCTCCCGCTTCTGTTTCTTTGACGGTAATGACAACGACAAGTACAGCATAAACAGCTACCATTACTCAAGTGCCAGGCAACTTGTATCTGACAAACATTCTGTCCTTTAATACGGGCAATCATTTCAGAAGGCGAAAAATGGAAACTAGCCTAAGTAGAGATACAGCAGTGCATGGATTAAATAAGAGAACAAAAATCCCTATGAGTAGCCCCGCTGAGTTTTGTAACCACAACAGAACCTGCCTATCAGCTTTGGGGACCCTGGATCTTCCCACAGTCCAGGCCCACAAACTGACCGCATGACATTCATTAAGCCAAAAGACTGGTCCCCAGACCCGCAGAACAAGTACATGGGATCACTAAAACAGACAAGTAGAGCCCAGAAAGGCTGGCCCTTTCACAAATCATGAGTTCACCACTGAGGCTGGAGCTCTCACCTGTGCCGCTGGGAAGAGATGCTCTCTGTCCACCTGGGCTGCAATGGGAACCAGCTCCTTCTCGGCAAAGTCCCGGCAGGTCTGACGCAGCATCTGGTGGGTCTCGGGCAGCTCCACAGAATGGTAAACGGTGTGTAGCCACCGACAGTCCCAGGGGTGCAGAGCTGCTGGCAGTGAAAGAAGTCAACACAAGAGATCCTGAGTAGTAATAATCATGATCAACTAGAAGCTCATCACAGGTAGGATTTTACTCTGTGGGGGAGTAACGTCTAGCCATAATTTTTGCGTGTCACAATCGGAAAAGGGAATATTATTAGCACCCAGTGGTTGAGGCCACGAAACATCCCATCATGCACGGGCTGGGTCCACAACAGAATTATCAGCCTGCAGTCCCATGTAACTCCCTGGGCTGAGGCAGGATCACTCTTAGCCCTAGAGATCAAGGCCAACCTGGGCAACAGAGCAAGACCACAAACACTGTGCCAAGGCTCAGGGAATGTTTCCTGTGCTGGTTCAACACTGTGCAGACACTACTTGAAGCCTCAGTATGACACCAACAACAATAGGACCCCAGTTCTGCGACCTCTGGAATGGGTTTAACTTCACTGAGCCTCAGCTCTCTTCCACAGTAGTACTCCATTCCTGGGAATGGGTGGGATATAGCTCAGCGGCATAGCGCCTGCCTGGCAAGCAGGTCCTGAGTTTGATTCCTGGTACCAAACAAGAAAAAAAGAGAAACAGTACAGCTGGCACTTAGCACAGTCTGCAATAAAAGCTTCCCCTGTTGTTAACAGAATGAGGGTGGACCTCCATCAGCCAAGGATGCCTGGGCCACAGATGCCTAAGGCGACAGACACGGTGGGAAAGATTTGGAGGAAATGGTACATAACAGTGCTAACATCATGGACATCTATTATGTGCCTGGCGCTGTACTGTTATCCATACCCGATGGTTTAATCTTGCTAAAAACTCTCTGAGAATAGCAACCACAATCGCTGTGGCCATTCTACACTTGGGCCAGCTGAGGCCAGAGGACAATTAAGCATGTTGTCCAAGGTCACAGACTTGAGTCCAAGTTCAATCCCGGACCTGGCTCCGAGGTCGGCGCGTCCGGAACTCCACATGGGTGGCACAGAGGGGTGTGGGTGCCGCGGTTCGAACCCAGCTGGCAGGGGTTGGGGCTGGAGCAGTGGAGCCCTGAAGGGCCAGGCCTGCAGGGCCCGGGGACAGCCCTACCGTGGCACAGGCCGCACGCCGCGGGGAGCCGCCAAACGGCCGGGGAGCTGAGCGGGGCCGGTCGCGACGACGCAGGCCGTGGGCTGCCGCAGCCCGAACGCACTCACCTCCGCGGAGGGGGCCGCAGGCCCGGGAGAGCAGCGCGACGGCCATGGACTTGGACAGGCTCGGCCTTCCCGCGACCTCCGGTGGTGAGCGCTGTTCCGGACTGCAGGGGACGGGCCCGGCGATACAGCCACGCCCCAGGGCCTCGGGGCGGGGCCTCCCGCGACCCGCCCTCCGGGACGCCGGGATTCCCTGGGCTGCGGAGGAAGTCCCAGGAGTTGGCGCGCTGCTGTCCCCGGCCTAGTCAGTAAAAAAAAAAAAAAAGAAAACAAAATGAGCAAAGAATGGGCCTTGCAGAAGGGCCATGCAGGCCTTTTGAATGCATAGTAAGAGAGCAGTCCTCAGAAGTCAGGCGGCAAGGTAGGTGCCTGGAGTCCCAGCCACGTGGGAGGCAGAGGCCGGAGGAGGAGGAGCGCTCAGCAGTCCGCAGCCGGCCTGGACAACGCTGCGAGATGCTGTGTAAAAAGAAAAAAAAAAAAAAAAAAAACCCACAAAAACAAACCGCTGGCGTAGTGGTGCATACCTGTAATTCCAGCACTCGGGAGGCTGTGGCAGGAGGACTGCTGCAAGTTCGAGGCCACCCTGGACTGTGCAATGAGTTTGAGGCCAGTTTGAACTACGTGGTGAGACAAAACCTTGAGCCTAGGAGCCTCAGCAGCAGCCACATTTCTTGTAAAATCCATAGCCCAGAGAGCCGAGACCTACCCTTGCCCACATCTGTGCCAGCCCCACCCTGCGTTCCCCACGCCTGCTTATACCAAGAAAAGGGCTGGGGAAATGGCTCCGTAGATTAAGTGCCTGCCTGGCAAGTGCAAGGGCCTGAGTTCAATCCCCGGTACCACTAAAAAATAAATAAATAAACCCATAGAAAAAATAATAAAACCAATAGCAAAGCCAAAACCCTAATATACCAAGAAAATGTTTCTCGGTACTTTGTCTCCGCTGTGCGTGCGTGTGTGTGTGTGTGTGTGTGTGTGTGTTCGTACATGCCTCCTCCTAGACTAAGATTGAATTTGCAATCCTCCTGCCTCGGACCCCCAGAATGCTAGCATTACACACTGGCACTACCAAGGCTGGCTTCAAATGTACTGTTTATCTCCTTACTGGCACCATTGGGTCCCTTAGGGGCAAGGGCCTTGTCCAGCTTCCTGCTCAGTGTTTGGGTCCATGGAAGGGGGTTGCTAGGAAAGGAAGAGTTCTTATGCCCTGAGGTTGAAAAGTGAGTTGCGAAGTGAGCTACTTCTCTTACACTGTCTTCCCTTCTCCCAGTTGGGTTCAGGGCCATGCATTTGACCCCTCACCTCCTGGTCAGGGCACCTTCGATTCCAGAGGCTCTGAAGGTCTCACTTGCCAACAAGGTACTGATGTGCTGCACCAAGTACTGATGTGCTTCCCACAGTCTCCCAGCACCCACATAGCCCCAGCTACACTTCTGCCCATAACCCAGCCATGTTCTTTCAAGATTTTGTTCCACTTCCTTGGGGAAAATAAAAAGATGAAGAATGCCTGTGTATGGCACTGTATGCTGGTAATCCCAGTATTAGGGAAGCTGAGCCGGAGGACCACAAGTTCAAGGCCAGCCTGGGCAATGTAGCAAGCCCATATTTGGCATGGGTGGGGGTGGCTCAGTGGTAAAGAATTTGCTTCACTGGATTCAATCTCCAGCCCTGGGCTGTGGGCAGGAACAGAGAACAAAGCCTTTAATGTGTACATAGCCCAGGATGAGCCTCCTGCCTCAGCCTGCTGAGTTCTAGGATTACTGGTGCACACCACCACACCCTGGGGATCAAACTCAGGACCTTTTGTGCTTTCTCTCATATTTTTTATTTTTTTTTAAATTTATGTATTTGGTAGAGGTTCTCTGTCTCAGACTCAGACTCATGGTGATCCTCCTGTTTCAGCCTGCCAGCGCTAGGATTCCAGGCCCAGTTTCGATGGCTGACATGTCATGCAGTACCGGGGATCAAACCCAGGTCTTTGCAGTTGCCAGCCAGGTACTTAGACTGCTCGGCTATTTCCCAGGCCCATCCTTTCATTTATTTATTTATCTATTTATTTATTTTATTGTATTTTAGGGAAGGGTCTACAGGTTCTCACTACTAAATGGACTCATAGTGATCTGCCTGTTTACAGTCTCCCAAGAGCTGGGATTACACAGTCTCAATTGCGGTCTCAGTGCACCCCCAGGGATGGGGCCGGCACAGCAGGCCAGGGATTGAACCCCTTGCCCCTGAGCCTGCTTGCAGGTGCTTTAATCTGTTGAGCTATCTGGCCAGCCCCATCCTTTCAGTTTTAAAGGGGGCATTTAAAAGAAAGCTTCTTATGAAAACGAAATTATAAGAAATAAAGCCATGCTGTTAAGTTGAGCTGTGGGGGACTCAGGTCAATAATTTCTGACATTGTCAGTTAAACAGAAGACCCAATGCTATTATGGGCTACTGGACTCTTTTAGAATATTTTGCTGAGTTTACACACCTATAATATTCAATAACGGAACTTAGAA